CTTCCCATCACTGGAACCTTTGACCTCGTCGGAATCAACCATGACGCCGACGCAACCGAAAGAACACGGAGATGCTCTAGATCAGCAGCTCTGATACCATGAGAACTCGTACGAATCAATCACACAAAGCAAAAGGAAAAGACACGGTGTTTACGTGGTATCCCCGATTGATCGGGACTAGTCCACGGGAGAGATCAGCCTCTCCAGCTTCTTATGTTATTATTACTTGCACACTTAGCCTTTCGGCTGTTCATGGTTACATATATATGTTGAGCTAGCTAGGGTTACAAAAGCACTCCCTCTCCCACACGACGACGGTGACGTAGTCGTCACGCAACAAGCAGCATGCCCAGCAAAAGATGCATGGGCTGTCTCGGGCACAGACTCGGACGTGGGCTTTGACGCTGCATGCGGTGACTCGGCTCGGCCCAATATATTAATCCATATCCCAACAGTTAGTGAGGAGATGGCGAGGTCTTGCAGGTGATCGGCATCCATGGCTGGCTGTTGCCTTAATTAGCTATAGACTATAGTTTGGTTTTCCTGAAGAAAAGAAAGGCAAACTTCGACGAGACCGTACGTACGTGGTGTAATATATAGTTGAGAAAAAGGGTAGGCACGTACGACGTCGGACAGTTGGGTAAAGGTAGGGGAAACTTTTATGGGGAGAGCTAGAGGGGAGTTAATATGGCATAGGACAGTTGGCAGTTGAAGGATGTCAATTCTTCGGGGTGCCAGGAGCGAGGTATAGGTACTTACGAAATCAAATTCGTGGAGTCGAGTACCGTTTGGATTCGGATGGTTATTAGTAGACAAATCGAGTATATTTGAGCCGAGTTGTTCTTGGTTTGTTTATTAATTCAAACTTGGTTTAATACACTTATATATCCAAAACTTTCACGGTTGTGCCAATAATATCCAAATTTTCCGGAATACCACTTATATTCATGTTTTAAAGTTGTTCTTTGACAAATCTATCCATTTCCCAATAGATTTTTGGTTAAATACACTTGTATATCCAAAAACACCGTTAAAGAATGTGAAGGAATTGGATATAAGTGGTATTTCGGGAAATTTGGATATTATTGGCACAACCGTGAAAGTTTTGGATATACAAGTGTATTTAACCTTAAAACTTTGGCTAGCATGTTTGTCTCGAGTTAAGCTTATTAATGAGCTTACGGGCTACATTCGAGTTCAGCTCGCGTGTTTGTCTCTAGATCGCAAGTTCAACTCGACCTCGACTCATTTACTCTCAATAATTGATCTCTTAAACTAAACTACAAAAGAGTTTATAAATGATATATCATAATATTTGTATGTTGTACATGATAAAAGGTGATTGATGTCATGATTAAAAAAGAATAATTATAAGCCATTATTTTTTGTTAACGGGTCTCTTACTTATATACTATGTTTGCACGTATCATATCTTTTTTTTATAAGGGTGATATAGGTTTTATTTTGTTGTTATTTAGGTACTACTTAAGAGATTCGAACCTGGGACCTCCAGGTTCTAGGCTAGTGGTATTTCCACTAGGCCAAGCCCTTGTTCGTGCACTTATCATATCATTTAACTCATAAAGTTTAACCATTTCATATCATGTTAAATTAATTAGTATCAAAGTTATCTATGACACATAACTAGCCACAATGTAGAGACATCTCATGAGCTCAAAACGAGCAAGCTCACAAGTTTAGCTGAACAAACCATTGAGTGAAGCTGACTCACGAGTCTCGAGAGAGAACAAGGTTTAGCTCAAAATCAGCTCGTTAGTAAACAAGTCGAGTTCTGAACGAGATTTTCTTGAACCGAACATCGAGCTGCCCATGAAAACCGCAACTCATTTGGAAACACAAAATGGTGATCAAGTCACTTGTCTAGTCTTAAAAATAGAGTTGGTCCATCTTTGGTAGGGTTATCTAATTTCTTTGAGCATACATTCATCACCACACCATGAGTTATGGACATAATCAATATGTTCTTGGTCAACCTTTTCCCTATTAAATTTAACGACCTAAATCTCTTTCATTTTAACTTGAAATTTGATTTTTGTTGCACAGAAAAGTTAGATTAATTATGCTTATCAAAATGATATCTATTTTAATATATTTTGAAAAAAATATATTAAGGTATATATTACCACTCTACTATCTTGATGTTTAGAAGTGCATAAGATTATACCATGGTGATACGGAAGTGTACCATTATATAGAATTGATGTACACTTGATAGTAGGAGCCAGGAAGATCACCGTATACCATCTTCCACAACCGTCTATTTCCTATTATACTAGGGTGATGTAATATGGTATATCCGATCCTGAATTTCTTTATAAAAATATTAGAATTTTATAGATAACGATGAACCCGCTTTTTTCGTACGAAAAATTCCATAATTTCAATTAAAAACAAAATTGGTACGTAATGACAACAAGTGATAATGAATAATATGAAATGTTTTCCTTGAAATATATAAAAACGGATATATAGTTTTGTAAATCACAAAAAACGGAGAATTTTTCTAAAAATTTGGTTTTCTATTATTCTCTCTCTTCCTAGGAAGAAAGAGATAACTAGAGATGTTTTCTTTATAATTAATAGTCTTTTGTTTAATTATATTGTTAAGTTTTCATCCAACAACTACGGTGTGTCACTTGATGCATCCTCTTTTAATTCTCTTATTATTTTTAGGTAATTCATAAATTCTGAATTCCTATATTTATTTAAAAAAATCAATTTTATTAAATATACTCAATAATATCCATTTTACAATATTTTGAAATGAAATTTTTTACCCTTCCAAACGCATGATCATGTTCTCATGCCATGTTAACTAGGAAGTAGACACATTGGCTTCACTTTTGTTTCATATGCTTTTCATTTTAATTCCTTACGCTTTAGTTGCGCCATAAACCGGCCGTCAGCGAAGGGCTAGAAGAAGGCACGACCACCGACGGCACCTTTCCCCTTCCGCAACATGGCCGGAACCGCCGCCTCCACGTTCATCTAATGATGTCGATCGTCCATGGTGGCTTGGAGCTTGGAGCCTTGGACGGGCAGCGGCCCACCAGGACGAGGTTGAGGCTCGCTAGAAGGCCAGGGCCTTGCGGATCCCGTCGGTTGGGCCAGTGATTACGGGCCCACGAGCCGTAATCTCGAATTCTTACAACTTTTGTGGAAAAAATCCCAAAGTACACTAGTTTTTAAAAAAAATTCCCAAAATACATAAGTTATAAAAAAATTTCCAAAAGTACACATGTTTGGGCATCACCGTGTTTGACAAAAGCGGTGAAGTTTATCACCGCGTTTGTCAAAGACGGTGAATACTTCACCGTTTAAGACCAAAACGGCGACGTATTCACCGCATTTATCTAAAACGGTGATATATTCACCGCGTTTGTTGAGAACGGTGAATACATCACCGTTTATGTTGACAACGGTGATTACCTTCACCGTTTTAGGTTAAAGCGGTGATATATTCCCACGTTTCCCACCCCTGGTAGGTCAAAATTAGGTCACACCTACCTATTATTCACCGTTTGAGACAAACGCGGTGATGTTGTTCACCGTTTTTGACAAACACGGTGAATAATAGGCAGATTTTCCTATAAATACCAACCCACCAGCAGAAGCAAAAACATAACCACTCCCCCCTTCTTCAAATTTCAGCAACAAAAATCGAGCATAATACACAGAACAGACATTTTTCGGTATGTTGAGACTTATCGTATTATTGTCTAATTATGTTTTTAGTAGTTATAGTATGATTAAATTTTCGTATTATGTTGTTGTTAGTTAGTTGAATTTATGTTCGTTAGTTATAGTATGATTTAATTTTCGTATTATGTTGTTGTTAGTTAGTTGAATTTATTTTCGTTAGTTATGAGATGGACAATATTAGTTGTACAATATGATTTTGGTTAATTTTACTGTCTTTAAGCTAATATATACTTATCCTCGATTTGTAGATATGGGTAAATTCAAGAAGTTTCATCTTAATATTCGGTGGAATGGAAGGGTGACAAACTCTAACATAGGCATTGATTATGAGGACGGCGAATCCATTATGCTGAACATTGGTTCCCGATTCAATTTTCAAGAACTCTGTGATCTTTGTGCAGAAAGGGTTTGTACGAGCGGACAGACGAGACTTGGCAGAATTACTTACCGGTATCCAGACATGAGTGCTGGCGGGGTCGTGTACCAAGAAGTTGTCATAAACGATGATGACGCGGTTACGATGATGTTACAGTTCCTAAGCGATAACCAAGTCCGGCTTGCAGAGGTGTATGTTGAGACCGAGGCGGTCGGTGAATCTCATTCTCACCAGTATTCTTATGATGATGGTTTTGCAGGAGGGTACGAATGGGGTGGTAGTTCGAGCAACTACCAAGGCGGTGGTTATACAGGAGGTTACGGGGAGGGTGGTGGTTCAATCAACTACGGTGGATCGAGTAGTGCAGGATGGGACAAATACTCGCAACCTCCTAAACCAGCCCCATTTGTTGAGGCCGATGGTGTTCAATGGCCTGCTTGGGGGCCAGAGTGGTATGGAATCGAGAATACCATTCGATCAGGGCGTACTTCACATGAGCGAGAGGACGATGTTGGTGATCGTGGTCATGTTGATCCTTCTAGCCCGAGCTATCCATTCGAGTCGAGCGACGAGGATACTGAGGAAGATTTGAGATCAGTGAGCGAGGAGGAGGAAGATACTGATGATAACGAGGATGAGGCGGCATTTCGTGAGGCACCCACGCCATATTACACACAGGTTCCAACTCAATTTTTATATAGTCAGAATGATCCCTCCGATTATGTCCTTATGCCAGTGTACAATCCGACGGCCAATTTGGAGGTGGGTATGGCGTTCCCATCGAAAGACGCTGTGCAGGATGCGTTTACAGAAGAGGCGTTGAGGCGCAATTTCGAGTGGAAGGTAAAATATTCTGACAGTAAACAACTACATGTCATATGCAAGCATGATGCAGAGGGTTGTACGTGGCAACTGCGGGCTGCAAATATGAAGAGAAAGGGTGCTTGGGTGATTCGCAAAGCTGAGACGATCCACACATGCTCCTCTTCTATACTTTCCCAAGATCACAGGCAACTAAAAGCAAAAAAGGTTGGGAGAACTATTAAGCACCTTATAGAAGCACAACCAGATATCAAGGTGAAAGCTATCATGGCAGAGGTGAAGGATCGACATTCTTACACGATAAGGTATAAAAAAGCATGGCATGGTAAGCAGAAAGCCATGGCTGAGGTGTATGGTGATTGGGAGGATTCGTATGCTTTACTCCCTAGACTTATGGGAGCAATGGAGGAGTCCAATCCTGGGACTGTTTTCGTCCCAGTATACAACAATGTATACACTGAGGATCAAGTTCGAGTACAGGATAAGTTGATGTTCCATCGTCTTTTTTGGGCTTTTAAACCATGCATTGACGGATTTGGGTTCTGCATACCGGTTATTCAGGTATTTTACCAACTAGTTCCAGTTTTAAATGTTGTATTATTTGTTGTTTAGTATATTTCATACTAATTATAGTCTTAATTTTTATTCAGGTTGACGGAACTTTCCTTACTGGGAAGTACAAAGGATGTCTTCTAATTGCCACTGGCGTAGATGGAAACAGGCGGATTTTCCCGCTTGCATTTGCATTAGTGGAGGGGGAGAACAGCTTAAGTTGGGCTTGGTTCTTTGACCAACTGCACGAGCACGTGACACAGCGGGAAGATATTACGATTATATCCGATCGACATGCGGGGATAAGGAATGCTGTTGGTGGTTTTCCCGACGAGTGGGGGTGGAGATGGAGATGGTGTATTCGACACTGGCTCGCCAATTTCCAACACAAATTTGGGAAGAAGAAAGACATCAAGAATTTACTTTGGAATGCAGGTACTAATGTTTTACTTATGCGATTTAAGTTTGTGTTTATTAAGCTGATAATCAAAATTTTATTCATCATGTATTGACCAGTTAGTCTTTTGTTCACCTTTTAGCGGTTGCACATCAACCAAAAAAGTACGAGGAGAAGATGAAAACGATCCGTCATACCCACCGAGCTGGAGCAGTATGGGCTGAAGGTCAAGAGTTGCCCATGTGGACGTTCCATATGGACAACGGGGCCAGATGGGGCATTGCAACTACCAACCATGGAGAAAGTATAAATAATGTGTACAAGGGTCTTCGAGCGATGCCTATTTCTGTCATCGTGGAGATGTCTTACTGGAAGGTCAACGAGTGGCGAGTTGCTCGGCTACAGCTAGCAATAGGGTGGGAGTTGCAAGGTCATTCAATAGCACATGACGTATTCGCTCAAATGCAGAAGAACGATGAAAAATCAAGTAAGCATAAGGTTGTTCTTTTTGACCGCAGTGAAGGAATATTCGCTGTCGAAACAGGTATATGAGGTGGAGGGAGACGTGGTCACAATCGTCAAACGGTTAAATTGCACTACGAATTAGGGGAGTGTTCTTGTCAAAAGTATCAGAACGAAAGGATACCCTGTTCACATGCAATGGCGGTTGCTAAGTCAATAACCATGAACAGAAACAGCCTGGTGAGTCCTTACTACACTGAGCAAGCGATACGGAACTCATATAATGCAGCTTTGAGCCCCATGCCAGATGAAGCGTATTGGCCTATATACGCTGGAAAGTTGATTATCCCACCGTTGCACCTAAAACGCACCAAAGGTCGTCCTAGAGTTGAAAGGATACACAATGAGATGGATCAAGTTGAACGGACGAGAAGGGGTCTGAAGCGATGCTCTAAGTGCAGACAACCTGGTCACGACAAGAGGCGTTGCCCAGGACAACCATCAACTTAATTTGCATTTACTTGTATTCTGCTACTAAATTGATCGCTTGTTTAATTTTTCATTACCGTTTGCATCTGAATTCTAAGTATTTTGTTGTTTCTAAAATGTTGTCCTTGTCGATACGATCGCGCTACCGCAAACGGCTCGTTATTTCGACCACAAACGAATAAGATACGCGCGTTTTAGTTTTAGTGTTGAGGGAAGATACTGATTCTTGATAAAATGATACAGAAAATTCATTCGATAACTTAAGTGCGTAGGATAGTTTTTAGACAATGCAAACTCAAAATTAAACACCTAAAAAGCACAAAAACAACATGGATAGATCACTACAATGATAAAACCATAAATTCACTCATTTGCTTCATTTTGGCCCCCATCTCCACCTCTTCCTCCTCGTCCTCCACGACGTCCTCGACCCCGTCTTCCCCCCTCCGCCGCTGCTTCTTGGCGGGCTCGCTCAACGACTGGTCGCGGATTTCTCTTGACCCGAGCCCCAACTGGGGTTACATATGGTGGTGGTGGTGGCTGAGATGGAGCGGTAGCTTGACGAATGATCGGAGGTTGCGGAGTTTGTTGTTGCGGGGTCTGATACATCGAACTCTGTTGCTGATGTTGGAATTGAGATTAAATAAAGCAAAATAAAACCTTAGAAAAAAATAAAATAAAGCAAGAATACTCAAAAAATTACCGGATTGTTATCCCAAATAGCACGGGAGCGATGAGCTACTTGATCGGTTAAGAGACTCGCATCCCTTGGGCCATAATGGATATACAATCGAGGATCGTATATCTCGGCACCCATCTATAAAAAAGTAATGAAATCAGAGATTGTTTTGATAAAAATAAAACAAAAAATCATATTATTTCGATTAAAAAAAATTCATAAACAAAAAACCTACACGAAGAGCCTCTTCGTCCATTTTTTGGCGTAGGCCGGACAGAGGTTCGACGAGTTTAGGTTTGAGCGGGACGGGAACTTAGCGGGACGGGGGCTTTAGGGTCAAACTCTAGTAATTCTTTCTGATGTGGAAGATCGGACTTAGCCGCAACCACAGAGCATACTTAGAACGAGACTATAGCGGATAAATTGAGGGAGAAAGAAGTGAAATGTTGGTGGGGTGAGTTGAAAGTGAAAGGGGGAGGGGGTATTTATAGTTGGGGGAAGGGGGGGAGGAGCTGCTGCGCAGTAATTAGGGGAAGCGTTCACCGCGTTTGATGAACGCGGTGAAGGCTTCGCGTTCCCCTAAAACGGTTCCCCCGTCCACGTGGCCTGCTGTGAGGCGTCGGATCGTGGGAAGAAAACCACGATCCGCGCCTCACCGCATCTAACGGTCACGGTGAAAACACAATGGCGCGGATCGCTGACGTAAACAAACACGGGGTATTCACCGTGTTTGTCTACCGCGGTGAATGCCCCGCGTTTGTCCACGTCAGCGCCTTCACCGCGTTTAATTAAAACGGTGAAGATATCACCGTTTTAAACTAAAACGGTGATATCTTCACCGTTTCATTTTAAAACGGTGATGCATTCACCATTTTTAACTAAGACGGTGAAGCTATCACCGTTTTATTTAAAAACGGTGAATGCTTCACCGTTTTAAATAAACGCGGTGATTATCTTCACCGCTGTTGTCAAAAACGGTGATGCTCAAACATGTGTACTTTTGGAAATTTTTTTATAACTTATGTATTTTGGGAATTTTTTTTTAAGAACGTGTGTACTTTGGGATTTTTTCCCAACTTTTGTTCGATAGTAGAAAAACAGATAATTAACCATACGGCGAGCACCGAGCCCGGCGACCGATACTGCGAACCGCCGCCTCCACGTAGGCATTTGGCACGGTACAAAAAGCGACGGTTTCTGGATCATGGCTACTTTTCGCGTGGCAACATACAGCGGTACCTGACACTGAACGTCGATTCCCATTTGTTTGTACTCTACGTGCAAGGATCTCGACAGCTGATCTACGTAGCTGCACCAATACCATGCAATAACTATTTCATATAAGAATTCCGAGCCACATAGCATATGATTCAGATTGATAGATAAGTCGTCCAGTACATTTATTTATTTATTTTTCATTACTAATAATTAATTAAATAATTAGTGGTCGATACTGATTTATTTTATTCTTAGAGTTTTATACGGGTGACATAACATAACATAACATGAGATCTTAGGTTCAATATAATAGCGGTATTATCACTAGTGCAAATCCTAATTTGCTTTTGAGTTTTTCATTTACACTGCTTTTTTTTTATAAAAAAAAATCTACACTCCCTGTTTATTAGCATATAGCTGTAGGTTATTTAAGCATAAAGAAATTATCAATTCAGTATAATAAGTAAAGGGGTTTTACACATTGTTAATATGGGAGGATTGACTTTTCTCGAATTAAATCATTTTTATTTGTGTTTCTTTTTATCTCATCCCAATTTTTCTTCCTAAATCTCATCTCAATTTTTTTTCTAATCTTAAATTTTTAGGGTATGCCTACTATGACATGCATGTCACGGTGACATGCACTTTTCGGTCGACCTATTCCTGAGGGCGGTCGACCGAATTGACCAATTTGGGCAGCACGAGAAAGCGTTGCGGTCGACCGCCACGACCACCCGGCCGACCGCATTTAGTTTAAGTTGGTATTTTTGGTCGACCAGAATAAAACCTCGGTCGGCCATTTCGTTGGCGTCAGAAACAACATGGTCGACCACCTAATATATAGGTCGACCACTTGATGGCAGTCATTAACAAAATGGTCGATCGGATAAGGAAAGAGGTCGACCAGATAGAAGATAAGTGTTCTATCAAAGTGTCCAATCATTTGACGTAAAATGGAGATCAAGTGTTGGTTTCTCGGTCGACCTAATCCGGTACGAGGTCGACCGAATACAAGAAAGTCAACCTATGCCCCGTGTCTTTTTTGCTTATGTATGTCGATTTGTGTGGTTAATTTAATCGTATAAATTATGTTTCAAACCATCATAATTAGTCAATTATAACAAGGACTCATCAATCCATAGCATAACAACTAAAAATAAAACACACATAAAAATAGCATAATTGTTCACACATAAAAATAAAACTAAAAAAACCATCATAGCATAATTGTTCACACATAAAAATAAAACTAAAAAAATAACATAAAAATAAAACTAAAAAAATAAAACTAAAAACTACTCATCTCCCCCCTCTCCCTCATCCACATTTTCTTCATTGGTGGTGGTAGCATGGTGGTCGGATGTGGTGGGATGCATGTATCTTCCGCTGAAAGATCGCCACTCATCTCACATCTCATTCATGGTCACCTGCATTGTGCTCATCTGGGCGGTCATTTGCCCCATGTAGTCGTACATGCCAGTCATCTGGGTGGACATCTGGCCCATGTACTCGTACATGCCATCCATGCGCTCCCACACACGCTGTAAGGTGATCGGTGGAGTTGAAGTCTGTGCCTCCCCCATTGGCTCGTCTCGAGCTCCTTCATCACCATCATCATCCTCATCATCATCATCATCATCACCAGCACCACCATGAGCCATGTTTGCTCTGACATACTCACCATTACACAGCTCAAAGCCCATCTTTTTCAGAGATGAAACAGTATAGAACTCCTGCCTTGAGATCCTTAACCCCACCTCTTCACTTAAATTCACATTAAAATGCTCAAATATCACAGTGAGGATCATCCCATAGGGAAGATTCCTGTTTGAACTCTCCGCAGCAGTAAGCATGTGGTTAAAGATCAAGTATGGCAAGTTCACCTTCTCGTTTAACAGTAGGTTGGTGAGGAGCTCCATGTCGAAGTAGGTGACTGTCTCCCGATGTCCACCCTTTGGCAGAATGTTGTAGGAGAGCATGTGGTGAAGAACTCTGGCTTGAACTGTCAGGTGGTTACTCGATGGCCTATTGCGCCCCTGAGCATCTTCCTCTTCATCAAGACCACATACCGTCTGGAT